ACAATCAATACAGTGCTGAAGTTAAAGTACAACTGTACTCCAGGACTTTTAAACTATGCTTTTAATGCAGGAGACTGTCATCCTTTTCCTAGCATTATCTACTGTAAAATTTGTTCAGACGGGTTTTAAACTGAGCAGAAAATGTCTCATCAGCTCACTCACTTAATTCACATTCAAATAAACTGGCAGTACTTCCATTGTCCAAATGGTGTTTCCAGCCAGCAGCCAGAAAAGATATGAAATGGAAAGTTGTTTGTATATTGTAAGATGAAATCTAACCCATATTAAGCTTCACACTTCATATATTGCTGCACTCCACTATATAAAGAACCACATATGTGAATAGTGTTCTGCAGCTGTTAATAACTAATGCTAAGAATAATATAAAAAAGAATATTACGGTTTACATACTTGGGGTGTGATTTCTGTTACTTAACTCTTGATGTCTACACCCACGCAAGTGATTTTATGCTCCACTGAAAGTCCGCTAATGAAATGCACTTTTAGAGGGTAAAATCCTCTGCCCTATGTTAGACCTCCATTTCAAGACATAAAGATGAATCACACTCTAGAACTGTTTATTTATTTCCACTGACCAGACAGGTTGACTACGTGAGTAGGTCACAGGCGGACATCCGCATCTGTCAGATAAGCTCCACCTTTAATGCTTTTATGTTGCCCTTCAAAATATGGAAGACACAACATTCCGTTACAATGGGCATCATGTGGCATATACAGCGTGGAGTAGTCAGTACTCTGAAATGTGCAGTACTGGTATGTAGGAGGTGTTTCAGATCAGCTTACATATCCCTGAACATCAACGATGGGGATGAAGTCACACACGTGTACAGAGAAAGCAGACTTGTACAGAGAAAGCTGGTAACATGTTTGCTAGCCAGCACATTGTGAACGTTTCTTACGGTCTGATCCTGCAAGCTAATGTGTATCCTATATTCAAATTTTCATAGGATATTTTATGGAAACAAATGTCCAATACTATCGGGAGGCAGCTCGATACGTGGGGGAATTTAGCACACGAGACACAATCGGCACAGAAGCGACTGCATGGACACGGCCACAGGTAAGAGGACTGACACCCTTCCGGCTTCCTGAGAGTTTTCGCTTTCTCCCTCACTGCCCTCCACACACGTTTAAACAGCTGATTCGTTTCCCATAGCAAAAAGAAAAGAACAAAATAAGAAAAGGGAGGGACACTTCTTATGTTCCTCTCTTTTCTTCCAAGTTGCTCTAAAATGTATCTGGTGCACTCTGGTGGCTGCTTTGGTAATTCTTAATTCAATGACTTTGCAAAAGGTGGAACAGTAATTACCGATGCTGTTTTTGAGGTTACCCATATGAAGACTAATGAGCACATGAATTTATTCCAGTTTATCCAGTTTGATTTTTCTTGAATGCACCCCCTGGAGGAATTCAGATCTCACCCATCGCAGCCCATCTGCTTACCTTACATAAATCACAAGGGGGGGTTGAGTGGTTGAGGTTCTCATCTCATCTGCTTTATGTTTTAGCTCATGGTCAGACAGCTGCTGAATTTTACCCAGAGGTATATCAGTTTCAGTAGT